CTAAGCAGCTCAGTGAGAACCTGTCTCTAGGCCTGGGGATGTGGCTCAGGGGTTGAGTGCCCCTGAGTTCAATCCTCAATGCCAAAAAATAAAAAAGAAAGAAAAAAACAAACTAAAACAAACAAACAAACAAAAAAACCCCAAACCAAACAAACCAACAAAAACCTCCACATTAAAAAGAGGGGCTGGGGGACTGGGGTTGTAGCTCAGCGGTAGAGTGCTTGTCTCACATGTGCGAGACCCTGGGTTTGATCCTCAGCACCACATAAAAATAAATAAGTGAAATAAAGGTAGTGTGTCCAACTACAACTAAAAAATAAATATTAAAAAAGATACTGCACCATGAGCAAGTGGGTTTCACTCCAGGGATGCAAGGTTGTTTCAACATGGAAATCAATAAATGTAATTCACCACAGAAATAGAAGTAAGGACAAGAATCATATGACTATTTCAACAGATGCAGAAAGAGCATTTTACAAAGTGTAGCACCCATTCATATTTAAAACACTAGAAAAACAATGGATAGAAGAAACTTATCTCAACACTGTAAAGGCTGTATATGACAAATGCAAGGTCAACATTATATGGAATGGAGAAAATCTGAAAGCATTTCCTCTAAAAACAGGAACAAGATAAGGATGTCCACTTTCACCACTCCTGTTCAACATAGTCCTTCAGACTCTGGCCAGAGCAATCAGTAAGAGAAGAAAATTGAAGGTATACAAATAGGAAAAGAAGGGTGAAAATTCTCTCTTGTTTGCTGACAACATGATCCTATATTTAGAAGACTCCAAAAAATACTCCACCAGGAGACTTCTAGAGCATGTAAATTAATTCAGCAAAGTAGCAAGATCAATCACATGCCTAGACTGCAATGATGAATAAGCTGAAAAAGTAATTAGTAAAAGTATCTCATTCACAATAGCCTCAAAAAGAATAAAATACCTGAGAATCAACAAAAGAGGTTGAAGGGCGCCTACAATGAAAACTATAGAATACTAAAGAAAGAAATTGAAGAAGACCTTAGAAGATGGAAGGACTTCTCATGTTCTTGGATAGATAGAATTAATATTGCCAAAATGGACATACTACCAAAAGCACTATATAGCTTCAATGCAATTCTCATCAAAATTCCAATGACATTCTTCACAGAACTAGAAAAAGCAGTTATGACATTCATTTGGAAAAACGAGACCAGGGATGGGACTGTAGCTCAGGGGTAGAGGGTTTGCCTAGCACGTGTGAGGCCCTGGGTTCAATCTTCAGCACCACATAAATATAAGTAAATAAAATAAAGGTATTGTATCCATCTACAACTGCAAAAAACAAACAAACAAACAAACAAACAAAAAACCTCCAAGAGACCCCAAAACAGGTCTCAGGGTGAGAAAATCAAAGCAGGAAGCATCACAATACTGGACTTCAAATTATACTATAGAACTATAGTAACAAAAACAGCATAGTACTTGCACCAAATAAGCATGGAGACCAATGAAACAGAAAAAAAGACAGAGAGACAATACCACATAAATGTAAGTATCTCATACTAGACAAAGGTGCCAAAAAATATGTTGGAGAAAAGGTAGCCTTTTTAACAAATGATGCTGGGAAAACTGGAAATCCATACGTAGGAGAATAAAATTTAACCCCTGTATTTCACCCTGTACAAAAGTCAACTCAAAATGGAACAAAGACCTAGGAATTAGACCAGAAAGCCTGCAATTGCCAGAAGAAAATACAGGCCCAATACTGCAACATGTCAGCTCAGGAACTGATTTCCTTAAGATGACTCATAAAGCACAAGAAGCAAAACAAAAAATCAGTAAGCGGGATGGTATCAAATTAGAAAGCTTCTGCACAGCAAAGGAAACAATTAGTTGCGTGAAGAGAGCCAACAGAATGAGAGAAAATCTGTTACCTGCTCTTCAGACAGGGAATTAATATCCAGGATATAAAAAACCAAGCAATAAATGGGTAAAGAGCTGGGCATGGTGGTTCATGCCTGTAATCCCAGAGGCTTAGGAGGCTGAGGTAGGAGGACAGCAAGTTCAAAGCCAGCCTCCATAACTTAGCAAGGACTTAAGCAACTTAGTGAGAATCTGTCTCTAAATAAAAAATAAAAATGGCTGGGGAT